GGGGACAGGGAAGGGGCGGGGCCCATACCTGGAGGGAGGCGTTGTGCTGCCCGTGGCACTCAGTCCACAAGGGCCCATGGACCTCACTGTCTGCACGGAGGCTCCCTGGGCTGCTCTTCCTTTTCTGCCAGGAGAACTGGAGAGTAGGATGGGGGGTTGTGCTCACCACAGAACCCCAAGGGTCTCCAAAAGGCTCATTTGGAGGGGAGAGCCAGCCACATCGAGGAAGGAACTATTTCAGTTTGCCATAATCAAGTCTAGCTCAGGGCTGCCTAAAATAGTCAGGTAACAGAATCCAAGTGTCTGCAAAGATGGTTTGGCTCCTGAGGCCTGGGGTCCAGTGCAGGCCCAGGTTGGGGTCAGGAGGGTGGCTTCAGCCACTGCACACAGATTCCAGGCCCCCTACCGCCTCCTCAAGGCTTCAGTCCAGGCCAGGCCCCTAGTAGGTCTTTAGATAACGAACCCTCTAAAACCCCCCCTCTTACCAATCCAGTCAATGACCACATAGCAGAGATGAACAAAATCCTTTTTAGATGAAAGGCTTCATGCAAAATTTCATGGTGCCCCAGAGAAGGTAAGGAATGCTTAGGGGTTTGGCTGAGCCTGGCTTTGCACTTGCTGCTCACAGGAGAGAAGGCATCTCCAGGCCTAGCCCGAGCCTATGTTGGGGGTTCAGTCAGTGGCCTGGGCAGCTGGGTTGGCTTCTTTCCCCAGAATGGTCTCTCTGCTTGGTTTCTGAGGACAGCTAAGTTGGCGGCTGCCTCCACCCCAAGAAGCACACCCTGTTAGTGACTCTACAGGCCCCTCCTGGGCTTAGTCCTCTGCCCTCATTGTCCCCTCCTTTACCGGGGAAGAGGGAAGCCACGCAGGGCATGGCATGGGTCTTGTGGCCCACAGTCTGACTCCTGAGTGTGGCACCAATGCTGGGGCAGGAAGGAGCAGACAGAGACACCTCTGGAGCAGGGGTGGCTGCCTTTGCTCAAAAAAAGTGAGTGCCCAGGGCCTGCTCTGCAGCAAAATCCTGCTGTGTGTCCACTTTCCTCATTAGGCCCTCAGAGGCAACCTGAACAATGCGTGAGGGTGAGCTGCTTGATCAGGGCACAACCCACCCAGCAAGCCCCACACTTCTAAGTATGTTCTGGAGCTCCTTATGCAGCACCAGAAAGGAAGCACACTTTCTCCCCCGCCCTGTCCTTGACCTCTCGGGGGAGCTCATTCCTCCCCTGTGCCACCTGAGCACCCGAGCCCCAAAGCTACAGTCTAACAAATGGTTAATGCCTGCTCCACCACTTGGTAGCTGTTTGACCATGGGCAAGGTACTTAACCTCTCTGGGCTTCTTTTGCCTCACATATACAACAGGAATAATAATAATAATAATAATAATAATAATAATTAGTTTTTATCTTAAAGGGTCATTGGGAGGATCAACTGAGATCACCCAGGGGCTGGCACAGAGTGAGTGCTTAATGAACAACAGATGGCATGAATAACATTGTTATTATTGGTGAGGA